ATAGCTTGGAAGTTCACTTTCCTCTATGGGGACTTAATAGTGGAAGACCTCACGTTTTAGGTTGCTTAGAGGTCGTTGGCAAGTTAAACTCGTGAAGCATTCATAACTCCAGATTGAAGAAATATGGTATTAAGTGTTTTAAATCTGTATTAAGGTGGTAGCAGGAGTAGTATAATACTAATACATACCTATGTGACTGCCTCAAAAGTCATTGTTCCTAGGCAAACTTGCTCAAGGAATTCAAAAGAAGTCAAGAATAACAAATCCAAGCACACTAAACCTGATAGAAGAGAATGTGGGAAGTAGTCTTCAATGCATGGACACAGGAGACCATTTCCTAAATATAACCCCAGTAACACAGACACTGAGAGAAACAATAAATAAATGGGACCTTCTGAAACTGAGAAGCTTCTGTAAAGCAAAGGACACAGTCAATAAGACAAAAAAGCAACCTACTGAATGGGAAAAGATATTCACCAACCCCACATCAGACAGAGAACTGATCTCCAAAATATATAAAGAACTCAAGAAATTAGACATTAAAATTCTGAGTAACTCAATTTAAAAATGGGGTTCTGAACTAAACAGAGAATTCTCAACAGAAGACTCAAATGGCCAAAAAATACTTAAGGAAATACTCAACATCAGGGAAATACAAATCAAAACAACTCTGAGATCAAGAACAACTAAGAAGAATGTAGAAAAATCTTCTGTCTCCAACTATCAAAGGAATGGACTCAGCAACGGCAACATCCACTAGGGCTACTGTTGGCTAGGATCATAAACTTCATAGGAATCTGTGTTTGTAATAGAGTGTGGAGGCAATGTCGGTGACTGGTTACTTTTACTCTAAGAATGCACACTTGAATTCTCTCACATTCATATCTGAAAGTGATATAGAATATATCTGGATAAATTATAATACTATTTATTATATTTATATATTTATAATAATATTTTAGCATGTGCTAAAGAGTGTATTCTGTTAGATAAATTTTCCTATCAACTTGTTTGTACAGGCCAAAATGAGTGAATATAATTTCTTTTAGTAAATTGTTTCTCAAAATTTGGGCGGACATGAGAAACTGAAGCAACAGGCTTATGGACCTACATTCTCAGGAGCAGTTTAGCTTTAACGCACATGGGAGGGAAGATTTTATTAAGTACCTGTTTCCAGAAAAGAGAGTGTGGGGACTCCATGTGTTATGATATTCCCAGTTCAGTCACCCTCAGGTGTTGGTTGCCTGCCAGCCCGCATAAAGACTATGCAGAGAAAGCACCTTTCGAGCATGGAAAGAATATTCTAGCTGTCTAGCTCCTTTCTTGTCAATGATAATCAGACGATTCATTTGAAGAGTTGGAGAGTTCCAGGTGAGCTCCTTTAAGATGTAGATAAGTTTCTGCTTGTTTCCTGTTTGTAATGACTGTTTTTGCTGAAAGCTGTGTGGAACAGCATCATTCATATTTTGCTTGGCAGAGCAGTCACATTATTTGCTGCTCTGTGTAGATCGTTTCTTGATTTATTTGTTCTGATTTTGGTTTAAGTTTTGCCTTCGCATTTTATGAACAACAAACTTCTGCAGCCACTTGCAGTGGCATGACACTAGATAATTTATTAAATTCAGCCTTGAAAGGTAGATATTTTTCTGTTTTATAGTATTGTGTAATAAGGATTACAAATACCCTTTGAAAATCTCCATTGCAATTTCTAGTGGTATAGGGAAGGTTGAATGTAAGCTATGTTTCTCTAGTCAGAATTCTAGCTAATTTGCTGGCAGATGCCTTTTGTTGCTCAATCCATCTCTGTATTGAACAGCGTTTGAGAGACTGTTGACTACTTTCTCAGAGGTAGGCATCAGCTCCCACCTGCCATGTGTCTGATAACAGTGCGTTTGTGAGCACAAGCATGGGAATAGTGTGCTAGATACAAGGAGGGACTCCCGTGTTTCTCTTCACAGTATATCCATCCTGGGCCACAGCAGAAAGAACAGTGAGGTTTAGGGAGATCAGAATAATGGTGCCCAGAGGGAAAACCACACTGGTAAGGTGCTAAAGTGAATGAAGAGCCATGAACAAGAGAAAGAGTGGTAAGGGTACCCATGAAGAAGAGCATGTTGGGAGACTGCAATGGCCTTAAAGCGTAGTTTCTAGGGGCGGTATGACTGAGGGCTAGATGCCACACTGGAATGTTTCTGAGAAGGAGAATGTCAAGAGTTCAGTTCACTGAAGACAAGAGGAGGCACAGGGGTCAGCAGTGACCCTGCTGCTGTGGTGAAGACGATGCCATTGGCGGAAATCAATTCGAGCGTTATATTTGCAGAATGGTCATTGTTGCTGGCATATATGGGGACAGGGCACTGCTAACTAGCCGCCCCCTATTAACTTAAAGAAGTATTGAATCCCACTAACACATTGACAGCTACTGTTTTGCTGAATGTCTAGCTAATTGAGCATAAATCCTTAACAAATCACAAGTGTAAGATTCAACAAACAGTGATCAGCAAGAGGTAGCTATAGAGATAGTAACACGAAGGTGGAATGGATTTAGCTTAAGCTAAGAGTGGACAATTATCTCTATCAAACATATCATACAGTGTAAAATGTAAAATGAAGGATTTGTAACGTGGGAAAAGAGCCCTAATACGATGCAGTGTGTACCAGCATTGAACAGAATCATTTAAAGACGTGAAACCAGGTTGAGTTTTGCAATCATGGAAAATAAGAGCTATTGGATGTGAACATAGCTCTCCCAGTTCTGGGCCCTTCCAGCAGACATGTGTGGTTGATAAACAGGATGTGGCCACAGGGCCAGCCTGAAGCCAGTCTGACACAAGTAGCCAGGTGAAATGGTAAGGATCTGCAAACAAGAATGTGTCTGGTCCCCACTTCCTCATGGCCAACTCAAGTAATACCCCTGCTGACCACAAGTAATTCAGAACTGCCTGTGTCAAAGTCCCAGGTGTTCTGGAAAGTGCCTCAAGATGATGAAGACTAATGCTTTGTGGGGTGATTATATTTGAACAAATTTCATTATTTTTGGTGATCTGATAAAAAAGCAATTTTGATGTGGTCTAGTTAATTGTGGCTGATATTGCAGTAGGATTGCATCATAACAGAGCAGATGACACAGCTGGGTCACATTGCTCCCACCACCAGGAAGCACACTGTCTCTGAGCTACCATTGTCCTCTTCATTCAGTCTGAGGCACAACCCATGGAGTGGTACTACCCATAAATCGGTCGGTCCTCTCACGGAAAGTACCAAGATACAGCCTCTTCCTCATAGAAATACCCCGAGATTTGTCTCTTAGTGGATTCTAGACCTGATCAAGCTGCCAATCTATACTAACAATCACAGGTCTAACCCCTGTCAACATGACACATAACTTTAACATTTCATGCAATAGTTTTCTGTCCCTTTTCACACGGCTAATACCTCGTCATAGCACATGACTCATTGGGCCCATTCATGAATTCCCATAGTGAATCAGCATTTCAACATGGCTTAGTCATCCATTATCTCAACTCAAGGCAATTTCTTGATGGTGAGATACTCATTGTTGGGTTAGTACAATATCAAAAATGAAACATTCCCTTGCAGAAAGAAGGAGTATGGCACGTTATCTACAGCCATATAAAGCACTCCCTGGGGTATATCATATTGTCCCCATTTCACTCTTTGGAGGAATCAAGACAAATCAGATCTTTCATTATATTTTATAATGTAATAACTTTTTATTTTTAATAATCCTTGTATATGCTGAAATCATTTCAACTTGCACTTGTTTGTGACAGAGAATACCAGAACTTTGATGACTCTGTAACCATCAGCAAGGGTCTGACTGCATAAATACACAATCGAGTACTGCAAAGATTTCAAAGGCCATCTACGAGCAAAGCCCACACTTAATTCGGGACCTGCTATGGTTAGATTATAAGTAAAACCACAGGTCACTGATATATCCTAAGGTCCAGTTCCTAGCTACTTTTAAACTATACAACAATGACGCCCTATTGACTATGTATGTAATACATTGTCAGAGGATTATAGGTAAAGAGTACTAAATATAAGAGACTATAGAATGAGATGTCACAAGTCCTGATCCTTGAAGTGCATAAATCAAGCTAAAATACAGACAGAAGATCTAATTTGACTTCAAAGGACCAGATATAAGTATGATGGTTACTGCCAGGAAATGTCACTAAGGAAACTATTCAAACAAAGTTAATGAAATTTCCAAGCCAAGAAAGCTGTACAGATTCATCTCATAGTGGTACACCCATTATAAACACAGACAACTGTGTTTGGATTTAAGTCAAGTTCCATGGATATAACCCATGTTTGTTTACTGTATATTTGGCTAAAAGTCTGTGAATGGGGATATGGTAGGCTCCAACTAGAATGTGTTTGTTTTTTCTTTTCCAATAATGAATGTGATTTCCTACCAAAAACCCCTCTAAACATTTTTATCTGGCCCTATACTATGATCTTATGTGCCTACTACCTTAAGGCAAATTGATATACAGTGTTCCATAGATATTGAAACAGATTCACAAGGTTAAATTGCTCAAAATTTCTAACTCTTTCTTGACCCTCTTTCCAATGCTCCAGAAACAATGAAATCAATATTTTGACACATCCAGGAGTCAATGAAAATTTCAGAAGTACGAACTAAAATATCTAAGAACATGAAGAAAATAATGAATTCTTTGGGTACAGTAAGAAACACCCATGTCTCCGTGTAGCAGAGTTTACTGTTGTGGCTTACAATGTAATTTGGGCTCTAATCACATGCTTAGAATAAAGTAAACTAAGAGTTGAATGTAGGTTAATCATCCTGGCCATTAGGCTGTAAACAACACCTGAGGGTTGTCAAGGTCTCCTCAACTTGGTTTGCATATTACTTCCTCCTGCCCCCTGGCAATATATGGCCTTGGGGATGGTGTAAAACACTATATAAGAGGAAAAATTAACTTAAGGTTTGTTCCTTGTGGGGAGGATTTCTTGAGTCAGTTCCTGTGCTGCTGTGGAACTTCTCAGAGATGCAGCTGTCTTTAACGCATCCGTGCCTCTGTAAGTAATGCGTCACTGAACTAATGTTCTTTCAAATGACAACCTTGCATATTACTTTGTTTTACAAAACTGGACTAAGAAGTAGTTTCTTTCTTTCTTTCTTTCTTTCTTTCTTTCTTTCTTTCTTCCTTTCTTCCTTTCTTCCTTTCTTCCTTTCTTTCTTCCTGGTGTTATTGTTCTTATATGGTGTGTGGTGTTATGGTTCCCAAATTTTAATGAGATTCTTTAGAGGTATAGCTGTCTTAATTCAACTATGCTCTTGTCAGTCACTCTTCTTGGGAATTCCTATAGTTGATCTTAAACATTGCCTTTTTTAGTGTTGATTTTTATTGAGTTCTAAATTTTTCTCTGCTTCCCTCCCTGCCTCCCCCCCCCTTCAAATAAAACTGGTTAGAACCGGTTTGCTTTGTTGTTGCTGGGCTTGCTCCTTTTGTTTTGGGGGTATGTGTGTGTGTGTCAGTGTGTCTGTGTGTCTGTGTGTTTATGGGTGTATGTGTGTTATTGTTGTTGTTTTCTCAAATGTTCAGTGAATGGGAATGTGTTTATACCTTACACAGGAAAGTAAGAAGGGCCTCAGAAAACTTTTCCAACTATTTCTCTAGGAAACAACTACACAATGAACCATTGCATCATTGATTCTGAAGGGTGTTTAGTTGGGAGGGCCTCATTCCAGCCCCATGGCAACCATCTTAAAATGTTAGGTGGAAAACTCTATTCCAAGCCCTGGGAGTGGCCACAGTCCAGACTCCACCTCCAAGAAAGCCCACCAACTGGTGACCCCTCCCCAGGAAAAATCAAGACCACCCCCAGAGGTTATTTAAACTGCCCTTTAGATATAGAACATGTGGTCTCCCCTTTTCCCTCTCTGGTGGTCCTCCTCTTTTCTGTGGTCTTTGGATTGTCTATTCCCCTTTCTGTGTTTTCCTGGAAAGCCACCCGGGAGTGTTGCCATCCATTAAAATTGGGCATCTTATAATTCAGTCTGATCTGGTGTGATTTGGATTATTGAGTTGGCAGAGAGGTTAGTTGGTAAGAGGACAATACTTAACAAAGGGATATCTTCTTACCTGGAGACATTCAACAATGGCTACAGACATTTTACATTGTCTTGGTTGACCTCAGTAAAAAGGAGGAATACCACCTGTGTCTGGTGGTAGAGAACAGCCATGAGTCTGTTTAGCAAAGAGTTTTGAAGAGAGTTCTAGAACATGGACTGATCCTCCTCATAAAGACAAACTTGCAAACATTTTCAGTCTGAATAAGAGAAAATGAGTAGGTAAAATCTGTTACAACTACAGTGGGAAGAATATAACATATTCTGTCTTCTGGGTCTTGCTTGACTTGAATGAACTGAATCATATTTTCACTTTTGTTGACATAGCAGATAAAACTAGCAGATGTGGCTCTAAACAGCTTTGAATTTCAGTCAAGAAAAGTTCCCTTTACTACAAAAGACACTTTGCTAATATTTACCTTTATCTTCTTGATTATATTTCCAAGTTAAATGAACTGTTAATATCCAAAAATTTCACAAAAGCAAACTTTTAAATTTTATGAAGTTGTAGGCAAAATAATTAGCTCCATTGACTCCTCTTAGATTATGAAATATCTTTCAGATAATAAACTTATACAAATGTGTTTCTATTTATTTTACACATCTCTCATGCATAAAATAAATTTGGAAAACTTTCATGATTTTTGAACAGTTCTGTTCCATAGTAGAAACTATCCAAACAATTATTTTTATTTTATTTTAAAAGGTTCTTGTATAACACAGAGTATTTTGATAGTTTTAGTTATTTTAGTTATTTTGAGTATTCAGTTTATGTGTTTTTGATGTATAAATATTATTAAGTTTCTAAATTTCCAACTGCATTTCTCAAAGCCTTAGTGTCAGGAGTTTTTCAGACTGGTGTCACTGAAGGTGTATAAATATTCCATTTTTAGACATTGATATTGATTCATAGAATTGACATTATAACTTAATATGTTATGGCCCTTTATTGACCTTTGATGAAAAAAATGAATTGATTATGAGACCAATTCTGCTTATAACAAAACATTTTATAATTGCAATACACAAAGAACATGAAGATGATAAAAGCAACTTCTTAATGCCTGCACTATCAAATCATAAGGACAATATGTAGTTGTGTAGAATGCTGACAACCTGCTACAACCACAAAGCATCTGGTGCTGTGCAGGAGCTCCACTGTTAGTATGTTGCTTCCTCCAAGCTACTGAGAGTAGGGACAATGAAAAGTAGAATTTCTGCAAGCAATCTATTTTATCATCATGGTTGGTATAAAACATAAATTCAGAAAAAAGGTAGGAACATTTTGATAAGAGAAGAAACTCATGCCATTATAACACTGAGCTAGAAGTTCCACAATGTGGCTTCATTTTAATTATGTCACTCTCTTTTATCATAAGTATTTGTAAATAAACAATGATGAGTTTATTCTTATTTGTCATGAAAATAAACACAGAACCAGAACTGTTCTTCTTACACTGATGTCCAAAATCTTAATATTGGATGCTGAGCTAAAATCAAAAATTTGGAGCCTAGAATGATAACTCAGTGAATCAGAACAATTGCTTTTCTTGAATAAGACCTGGGTTTGGTTCATGCTACCAACATAGCTGCTCAGAATTGTGTGTATCTTTAATCCCTGGAAATCTAATCCCTCTTCTGGCTGCTATAGTTGCCAGCCCTACATGTCATACACATACAGATAAGATAAAAACTGCTATGAATAAAATAAAATTAACAATTAAAAGAATTACAAACCCTTGAGTGATGTTACTGAAAATCACCAGAGAACCAGGAGACCTTGACCTCTCTGAAGAGAATGACATGAACACACACTGGCACACTTACATTGAACTCCAAAAATTGGAAGACTGCAGAAGCAATGCAAGGAGTAATAAAGAACTACCAAGAGATACTCCTATTACAAAATATGATTATGAACAAGTACAATCCATTAATTGAATGTCAACATTGGAAAATGTTTGTTATTCTCACAAAATTAAACATAACCATATGTACAAAGGAGGCCACTATTAGCAAAGGCTTAGTTTGATAATGCCACTCTTGACAAACTCAGATGATTAGATCTCAGAGTCAATGTGCTCTTTTTCCAGGTGCACTGCTTCTACTACTGATGTCCAACCTACTTTTGTGGGAAGAAGTGGTCTCAATACCCATGTGCTTAATGAGAAATGGGCGTTGCCTTGCTCCTTTGGAAGTAATGATTGATCGAGCAGTGAGATTGTCTGAGAAAATAAACAAACAAGCATATGAAATGTTCACTGAATTCGTAAGTACGACCCCTGACTTCCAGCTTCTTAGCCAACGGCTCCTAAATTGAAAGGGTTAATTTATAGTATAGTCTAATGTGGAAAGCATCGTAGGTCAAACTTCAAACAGTATAACTTCAGAGGTAAAAAAAAAAAAAAAAATAGAGGCTACTAGGTTGTGGAACCAGAAAATAGGGCAGTCTCATGGATTGTCAAATATTTGCTAAGATATAATCTTACTTTTCTCTAGTTTTAAACTCCTATTTTGGCTCGTTATTGTGACATAAATACATACAAGCCACGCTGAGGAAAGATTTGATTCTTTCTTATTGTATCTGGTGGCCTAGTGTTGGTTTGCATCACTCACCTTTGGATTCTGTATTATCTAATAAAGAAGAATGCATTGCAGTGACCTGCTAATATTAAAGGAGGTTAAGAACTCTGAGGCCAAGTCATTCAAAATAAGAAAATTAACATTCAATCTTCATATTAACAAATGGTATTAACAATTTCAAGCTATTCAAGATAAATGATTTAATAGCAAGGGAATCTGATTCAGAGAAATAGGCCAGACATTCATGATGAAGGCATCTTTAAATCTTTATGGTAGATGTTCTATTCTAGCCAATGATGTGGTGATGGTGTCTTCTGGGCATTGATGGCCTTGTGAGAAGTTGGCTCAATGCTTGCAAAGCCCATATATTTCAAACCTTTATCTCACATATTATTGTTTCTGCCATTTACATTTCCTGATAGGTCACCTAGGACATTCAGAATCATCCTAAAAATCCATTCAAACTACCAAGTATGTCATTAGTAGTAATTTTGAATAATAGATGGTTTACACAATAAAGATTTAAAAGTATATAACAAATAATTAAATATTGATTAGCATACCAAAATCAATTAATTTTCTATTTTAATTGGTTCATAGCATAATATTTCCTAGTGTATTCTGCATAGGGCTTAAGACTTATTTTGTCATGATCAATACAAAGCTTTTTGTTATTCCTAATGAACTGAATGAGGGATACTTGTGCAGATGCCAAGATGTTTGCAAGAAAAGTTATTTACCATGACATTTACTACAAATGATAGTTCAAAAATTGGTACTTGGTAGCCTTGCTGGATTTTGCTGAAGAGGAATATTTTGTTGAGAATAGTACATAGCAGAAACTTTGGGAAATTTGAAAGTTTTATGAATCGATATTAAGACTATAGATTGAATGTAAAATGTTAAATGGCTCATTTCCTTACTATATTAATATTTTATTTTAATAATGAAACATCTATCAAGTACATTAGTGTGTTGATCATTGATTCATTTACACAATTTTTAGTCACCAAGTAATCACATATTTTATCATTTCCAGGATAATCAGTATGCCCAGAGCCACCAGCTCATTAACAAGAACCTGAAAAAATGCCACACATCTTCGCTCGATCTTCCAAAACCCAGGAGTAAGGCCCTAATGACACATGTGAGTCCCCTACCTTTTCTTTCACCAATTCATACGCTGGCTTTGCCATAATATAAGCTATTATGGTCAATATATTAAGAATGAGAATCATATCTGCAAGAAATGGGCAGGTAATGAAAACCAAAAATAAAGTTTATTATGTAGATTTAAATTGTAAGGAAATCAGCCAAGTAAAATTTAACAGGTCTATAAACCATTTATGGAGGGGACCTTTTTCAATGCCAAATCTTCAAGATCTACATATTCCAAGAAAATTTTTAATTATTGACATTCATTGTTAAGTGCAGTAATGTGAACTTATACATTGCCAATATGACAGTATTGATAATTTGGTCATGGACCCTATGTTGCCTGCTCTGCGTTACTAACTTATCCACCATTTCTTTTCGGCACCTACTGGTTTTACTTATGTTTCTCGTCCTAAGTGTTGATTCCTAGCGGATCGTTCTGCCTTTTTACTGTGTCTTACCTGAAAGTCATATAGAGAGCATAAGAAGTTGCTTCACCGTGTATAGCCACCCCCACTGCGTGTTGCCAAGGCTCCATATCATGCATGCCTCTTTAAATTCTTAATCTTTACCCTCTCTCACTTCTGATGTCCTGCCATAAACGATCTCAACGAAATTTAAATTGCACATTATTTTATACCCTTACACAATTGTATAGCCTTACACTTAGAATGCATGTTCCGTGTATTCCTTAATACCTAAACCAGTCTGTGTCTCTAAAACACTTACTAAAATAATGATGAATGGATGAAGGAAAATGGGGAAGTGGAGATGAGAGGAGAATGCATTTAATAAAAGGGTTTTTTTTCTATTTTCTTTGCTAACAACTTTAAAATGCTCTACTAGCATTTCTGAATTATATTCACTCAAGTTTTAAACCACAAGGTCAATGGAAATATTTCACACTTTTATATAACTTACAAAAGAGTATTTTAAATATGCACTCAGGTAACAAAGAAAGCTTATTTCACCCTTTTGAGCAAAAAAAAAAAAAAAAGAAAAGAAAAACTGTCTGTGTCTAATGCTGTTGGTTTTCATATTTTAATGTGATTGTTCAAATATGGTTACTTAGCCAGTCATCCTACTGAAATTAGTGGAAACCTTACTGGATGCCTGGAGAGTCCCTCTGTACCATCTAGCGAAAGAAATGCCTACTCTGAAAGGTGCCCCTGCTACCATGCTCTCCAAAGCCAGAGAGATTGAGGAAAAGAACGCTGGACTCCTGGAAGGGGTTAGGAGCATTCTCAGCCAGGTGAGTGCTCCTTTTACACTTCTTTACATTTCTTCTAAATAAAAGAGGTGACCAGGGCAAGGAGAATTCAGTTTTGAAAAATGTCTCTTTACAAAAGAAAACGTTAGGCATTGGAATTATAGAGACACTATTTACGAGGAGGCTGGTAATTCCAACTATGTGAGGGGTGTTTTACTCAGAACTCCATATCCTAAGGATCTCTAAAGAAAACATCTGTTCACCATTTACATTGGGACAGGACCCTTTGTAGTAAGAAAGTTAGTCACTCCGCCACGAGCAGATTTCTTATCATGGTTGCCCCCTGATGCAATGGTCACTGAATCGCACATATGGGTATACACATTATATGAAGTATTGATTTGGTTGAAAATAAAAAAAGGATTAGCCAGGTGGTGGTGAGGCACACCTGTAATCCCAGCACTAGGGAGGCAGAGACAGGTGGATCTCTGTGAGTTTAAGGCTAGCCTGGTCTACAGAGTTTCAGGACAGTCTCCAAAGCTACAGAGAAACCTTATTTTGAAACATACCCCCCCAAAAAAAAGAAAAGAAAAGAAAAGAAAAGAGGACAATGTTCCAATATAAGAACCAATTAAGAGAAGAAAGGACAAGTCAGGAAGTATGTTGAGGACATGTGACATTACTTAAGAGATTGAATGAATATTGTATCTTCCTTTGTACTTTTCTCAAATCCATATCCAAAATATAGTAACTTCCTATCAGCCCATTTAACTTCTGCAAGATTTTATCATGCAGAGAATGCATACATCAATTTTTATATTTTAGAAACCTTTGTTCATTTCTCATGAAAATCCATAGGTTTGGCTGAGTTTAGCAATCCATACTCTCCTCAAGTATTCAAATGTTAACGCACCCTAAAATACTAAAATATAATTTATCGCTGACTTTCCTTTTGATAATTAGGTTCAAAGTAAAAATGAAGGGAATGAGAAATACCCTGCCTGGTCTGGACTGGTATCCTTGATGTCAGACAATGAAGAGGATCGCCATTTTGCATTTTATAACTTGATCCGCTGCGCAGGCAAAAATGCCCAAAAGGTTGAAATGTCTCTCAAGATTGTGAAGTGCAGAATATTAAAGCAAAAAGACTGTTAAGACCTTTCCATCACATCTGTTTCCAAGATGATGCTGGATGATACATTGCTGTGAAAATTCCTTTAAGTTTTTCTCTCTTGAATGTGTGCTGGGTATGATGGCTATCTTCTTTTAAAATAAAAACTGACTCCTCTCATGCAACCATCTGAGAAGCCAATTGGTCACATCTGTTCTACTTTATTTAATTTAAAAAAGATCTATTCATACCATTAACATAGTCTCACCAAATATTTGACAAATAACAGAAGTTAGGCATGCAAATAACATATTTCACAATTAATTTAAGCATTAGGAAATATCGATGTGTACTTAGTTATTAAAATCTAGGGGAGACATTTTTCACAAAGTTTTATTCAGCCCAATTTTGAAACTTGGAATTCTTTGGTTCCTTAAGGAAAGAATCCTGACATTGCCACATTTAAAGTTCAGACAGCACAATTGTGAGGGGACTACATTTCCCTAGCATTGTGAGCTATTTTGAAAACCCCTGAAGTATCTTAGGATAAAAGTATAAAATGGTTCCTGATTTCTCTCCAACTGTCTTCAAAGAGCCCCTCTGAATTCTGGTTGTCTTAGCATCATCTCAACTATGTACGCTCTGTTCATACTGTCTCCCTAAAGGCTTCTCTGGATGATACCCAATTTACCATCTTTTTCATACTACTTAGCTTCTTTCCTTTCATCCTCTACTGACTAAAGTTACATGACAAGGAATGAAAGCTATACATTCCTAGGGTTTTTTCCTTTCATTCTTCTGTATTTCCATTCCTACACTTTTTTGATAAGTACATAAAGGATTAGAAGACTGAACAATGATGACATCCGAATTATGGCATGACTAAATGTATTGCTGACTATGGCTATTGTCTCCTACTGAAAAATAATCCTCCCACACATGACCATGAACACAGGAAATAAATATAAACAATTTTGTGGTTTATATACAAAGTGGAATTTTCTAAAACTGATAGCTAGAAAGTAGAGCTAACATTTGCAAGAAAATGGATGCAATAGGAAAAAAAATTACATTAAATTAATTAAGATAGTGCTAAGTAGGCAAATATATGTTCTTTCATTTGAGAGTCTAAAATTTCACAAAGATAAACTCCTGTATTTTTAGAGGAGCAGATGATACATAAATCAAAATAATATTCTCTTTGGGAACAAAGTGAGCTAACATGATAGGGAGTGAAGAAAAATAGATTATATTGTGAAATGAGGCAAAATGTGTCCAAAGTATATTTACATACCTCCATTTAAATCCTCTTATATAATCAAATAGAAACCATTTAAAATTAAAGAAGTCTGCAATTCGAAGCAGTGAAGCCGTGAAATACTGGGCAAAGATTTTGTTCACACATGTACTTCTTTCATGACTATCCCTTGGCTCACTTTGGCTCTTCATTTATAATTGCCTGGTTATAATATGGTAATTCACATTCTTTTTAAAAATTTAGCTTGTGTTTTGAAATTTTCATTCATATATGTAATGTAGCTGGACCACACTCATTCATCCCTGCCCTGTTCCTATTCCTCACAACACCATAAATACATCCTCATTTGTTGCAACTTCCTACCCCTCTTCTATCATAATTTATACGTGTATTTTTTGCCACTGAATACAGTATTAGTGCTACCCATAAAGGCAAGAGTGTAGTATCACATACACTGGTGTATGACGAATTACATATTGCCACAGACCTAAAAAAAATATGACTCTGATTCCTCAAAAGCTATCACTTTCCAATAACGCCTCAGCAAAGGTTGGTGTTTTGAAGTCTGTCCATCCTATATGGTGCCTTTATCTTGTGCAGAAGTTATGTATATAATGACAACCTCTCTGAATTTGTGTACATACCAGTTATCCCATGCCCATAATATGTCATTTATCTCAGTTTTCTAGGTCTTTTATTTACCCATGTTTCTCCCTCAGTATCCTCGGTGTATATTATAATAAGTTTCTACAGTTAATCATTTCCAGAGAACATGTTCAAAGTCTTTATTTTAATTACCTCTTTCTATTTTCCCTCTTCTACTTTGTTCTCCTATCCACCAATCTATTTCTATATTCCTGTCCCATTATTTCCCTTTAACCTTCAAACTACTAACATTAAATCCCACTTCCCTTAAATTATCTCACATAGTAACTTGCTAGTTTTCTGACATGTATTGATACTCTAAACACACACTTAAAAATTCAAAGCTAGTGTCTACGTATGTGTTTTCTTTCTGTGTTTGACTTACCTCATCAAGAATCAATGTGGAGGGTGGAAGTTCTTCAAAGTGTTGAAAATATATTGTAAACAGAGACTGCTCATTTGTTTCTTGTCTTCCCAGTCCCAAATAATTATGCAAAAACAATATTAATTACAATATTGTTTGGTCAATAACTTAGGTGTCTTTTTAACTAGTTCTTACATCTTAAACTAACCCATTTCTATTAATCTTTCTGGTGACTTTCTCATGGCAGCTACATGGTACCTCTTTGACTTTACTCACTCTATATATCTCTGTTTGGATTTCTTGCCTATCTTTACTCTGTCAATCCATTGGTCAAAACCAATTTATTTATCAACCAATAAAATCAACACATATACAGAAGAACGTAGTACACCAATGTATCTTCCATATGATCCAACTATAGTATCCCTAAGTATATAATAAAAGAACCTACAGCCTGATCTAGTAATGCCTGCACTTCCTTGTTCATTGCTACTGTATTCACAGTTGCCATGAAATGGACACATCTTAGATGTCCATAAACTAAGTATAAGTAATGAGAGTGTGGTATATTTACCCAATAGAATATTACTCAACTGCGAAAAAAATTAAATTAGCAGGAAAATGTATGGAACTAGAAAAAATCATTCTGAATGAGATAATCCAGACTCAAAAAGACAAATTTCCCATGTATTATTCCATTGATATATTTTAGCTTGGAATCTTCAGATTTGTATATTTCATTTGGAATACTCGTAGAGGTCTAGAAGTTAGCAAGTATTCATTGTTGAGGGTGGCTTTTGAGGGAAGGAGGCTAGAACACAGTGGTGTAGATGATTAAAGGGAAATAATGGAACAGGAAGTGCTAAACTGGGTTGTAAATTGGAGGGCAACATTGGAGTATAACATCTCATACACTCCTAAACATTACAGTCTGTGCCAATGCTACTGTTTCCCCTCCAAATTTGACTGTTCTGTAAGATCTTATTGCTGAAGACAGTGCATACTGGAGTCAAGAACATGGAGAAATCAAGCTGGTGCTGAACTGGAAGCTTCTTCACTGCTAGCTAGATATGAAAGTACTGGAAGGTGTTACACATAGTGTAGGAAGAGAAAATTACCAATCTTATCTAGCTGTGATCCCTGCCAGCTACAGTAACAACTGGCCTCTAAGACATGCCAAGTGATGCAATAGTGGCTCTAGTATCATAGGAGTAACCAATAGCTTTCTGATTGGATTTAACTTTATGAAGTATATATCTGACACCATCATTTGTCACAGGAACATATGCTAAGTCAGGTCAAAGATCCTAAGGAAGGGTCTATACTTATCATTCTGATAAATGGAAAATGTGTTAAATGGAATGCTTATGATTTATTATTATAACAATAGACTAATAAAAACCTCAGTCCTCATCAGAAAAGTTTCTTTTGACATTGATGGTGATTAATACAGAGACCAGCAACTGGCCAAAGTAAATACAATAAGAGCTTGTGGAATGTTTGGCCCTATGCTAGACATATTAATCAAATCCTCCCTTTACAAGGGTCAGGGATCATTACAGAAGAGATGCCATAAATAATGCAAGAGTAAGAAGTGATGATTTCTGGACATAGCAGGAGAGTGATACATATGAATTCATGGCAGTTGTGAAATCATGCAACTCAAGCAAGACCAAATCCTTGAATGGGGAAGAGAAGGCAAAATTCTCACCACTAGTCATGGACTACTGATAAAACATAAATGCTAAGGGAAATAGAGTCAGCTTTCCTTATGATTTCAGCCCTTGGTAAGTCAAATACGTTCCAGTGCAGCCCCACTGTCAAGCATAAGACCCACACAACTCAATGAACACAGAGAAGTCGGAGAAGAACTAGTGCCTACATGGAGCCTTCATGTTAGAGGCAGGCTGCTTGTTTGTCCTGGCTGCCCAGAACCAAAATAATCACACAGAAACCATGTTAGTTAAATCACTGCTTGGCCCATTAGTTCTAGCTTCTTATTGACTGACTCTTACATATTAATTTAACCCATGTCTATTAATCTGTATATCGTCACATGGTTATGGCTTACCAGGAGAAGTTTCCAGCATCTGTCTCTGGTGGCTCCATGGCTTCCCTCTAACTCCACCATCCTCCTCCCATGCTATAGGCCAAGCCAGTTCTTTTATTCATTAACCAATAAAAGCAAAACATAGAAGGACTTCCCAAACCAAATGCAAAACAGCATTCTAAGCCACTGGGACAAGAAATTAATCAGGTGTCTCTATCCTAATACCTGAAAAATAGAATTAACATCTAAATGATTTATAAAAATGCAAAGGACATTTCATTGTGATAATGGGAAATAATACAAAACAGAATTTATAGTTCTAAACATACATGCATCAACTTCTAAAGCTCCCAACTTCATACAAAGCATACTACTAGAATTCAAGACACATATTAACAACAAATCAGTAATAAGAGGTGATTTAAGTACTTCATTTTGTCTAACAAACATAATATGTACAAAATATATACAGAGAAATATATAAAATAAAACATCTAAATCAAATGGGCCTAGTGTATAGCTACATTATATTCTACCCATACACTAAAAATATACACATAATAGTCAACAAGCCATGAAACTATGTGTAAAAAGCATTATACATTGGGATATAAAACATAGTTCAACAAAAGGAAAAATCTGAAATGACTCCATGTATCTTATCTGACCATATTTAAAAAAAAAATGCTTGAAATCAATTGTAAAAGAAACTCTAGAATTTACACAAACTGAAAAAAAATTAAAATGACACTGCTTAATGAAGAATAAGTCAAAGTAAAAATTAAAATTTTCATGACAATGAAAACAAAATATAAGAAAATATCTGGGACTCACTAAATGCAGTCTAAGACAGAAATTTATAG